ACCATGAGGAGAAACTCCCCAGTTTAGCATCAGGAGCTCCAGTTTCCTGCAAGGTCTGGCTCAGCAGAGTCAAAAACTGCCTCATCTCCAGGACAAGCGGGCCTCTGCTGCCAAGGAAAGCAGGTCTCTCCTCTGGACGCGGGACTCTGAGCACAGCCCAGGCGTGGCCGGAGCATCGGGGGTTCCAAGGCTCTTCCCTGAGCCCCACGGGCCATGCTGTGCACTCTGTGTTATCAAGGCAACACACAGCAGCCCTGCTCCAACCCCGGGGAGGTGCACAGGGTTCGTCCACCACAAGAAGAGACTGAAAGGAGCCAGTGGGGAAGAGAAGCAAGTCACACAAAAGAGAGCATGACAGGGGACAATGTTTTTAAGGCAGGGAGAACTTGTATTTCTAAAATAATTTGGGGGTGAAAATAGACGGGTCTCCATCCTGAAGCTATCGTTTCTTTCAGGAATTGCACTACAAAGGATGAACAGGGGGCTCCCACAACCCCGCCAGTCCCAGCTCCCAGCGTGTGAACAGACCGGCCTCCCAGCACAGGGTGCCCAACTGGGGGGAAAACACCCTCCTTAGTGTAACCGCCTCCCGTCCCTCCACCTCGAGGATGCTGCACCCATGACACGGTCACACCGCTCGCAGGGACGTGCCGTGCACTGCTGCCCAGCCCCTGCCCATGCAGCAGCTGAGCCAAACTCAAGGGGGCTGGCGCACAGGAGCCCCCTTCTCTCCTCTTCCTGGCACCCCAACCTCCCCGTTACATCTCTAGCTCTTCACCCCCATTTCTCCCCCTGGACAGCTCTCCAGCCAGTTCCCCCTTCCCAACCCTCCTGCTCCCAGTTTCCTGCCATTTCTATGCCCATCCTGACCCTGCCGCCTGGCCCCCACTCCAGGGGTCCCACAGCTGCTGACACCCAGTGACTCTGACACTGTCAGAGCCCCACCGGTCCCCTCCTTCCCCTCCTGCTCTTTCCACCACCTTGCCTCCCCAGGAGCCCCCAGCCCCTGCCCACTCATCAGCACACCCCTCCCTGCCAAACCTTTCCATCTCCAGCTACTTCCCAGCGGGACCAAGATTTGCTTTGCACCCACCTGGAGGAAACAGTAGGTTTGGCTTTGCCAGGTAATTTGCTTTCAGATGGCCCCAAGAAACAGAAGCAAAACTCATGCTGCAAAATGCTGAGAGCAGCTCGCAGCCCCTCCGATGGGCTGCATGGCCCCGTCTCACCGAGGACGGGGAGGGACGCGTCCTGGCACACTTCACCTTGTCCCCTTGTCACCAGGAGTTTGTGTCAGCAGCAGCACAGAGAGCTACAAAGCTGGCATTTAACATGCCCTGCCGGCTCCCAAAGAAGCGCAGCGGGAACACTGTGTCAGACTACAATTAGCCACAATTGTTTTACTGGCTGCTGCTTCAGCAATTTATAGGCTCCAGGTTAAAGGCTCATTCAGCACCGCTGTCATTGCCACCCCTCCAAACATGTCCTCTGCAAGCTGTATTGGAAATATTCTGAAATTAATAATTAAACATGAGATTTGGTTCAGATCTCAAAGGTACGCCAATAAAAAGCACAAATGCTGAAAATTCTCCCCAGGTGCAGACTGCTTGATGCAAAAATCAAAACATTTCACAACACAAAAGAGTTTTAATTCTCAATTGCTCTATTACAGGCAGCCAAGTCCTCCTTTTGCTGGCTGTCACTGCCAGTTCATGATTGCACAAGAGAAACCCGTGTTCCCTACAGAAGCTGCAAGCAGTGCAAAAGGAGTTTATCACGGCAATGTTTTCCAAGACTAACAGCTAAAGCACAACACCACCAAATTCCAGCTTCCATCCACCGCACTCAGAATTGGATGTTCCCTCTCAAAGGAGACCGTACAGTTACCCACACTTTTGCTAATACCATTTCCCTACGCGCTCATGCAAAGGCAGATTTGCACCTGCAAGTATTGCTTGGACTGTCTGCGTTTTGCCGGTCCTCCAGCTGCTGGTCTGTGAAACCAGGGCTGTTTGCCCAGCTGGGATTACAGTCCCCCAAAACAGGGACAAACAAACTTGGAGCACACGCTGCGGGGGGACACACACCCCCCAAAAACGGGGGTTCAGGAGAAACGCGGTTTTTCCCCGACAGCAACCGCAGCCCTTTTTTTTTTTTCTGCTTTGATTTCTTAAGCAATTGCTGCATCTCAAGAGATGCGAAAACAAGCGGCGCTCCCGCACCGCTGCGGCGGCCACCGGCCACCTCTCCCCC